GTCTGGTCACAAGCTGAAGACTTAAATAAAGTATCACATTTCCACAACACTTTCTCTCATTTGTCCAGCATAAAGTATGAGTGGCCCCCAAGTGCACACTTTGTGAAGACATTAAGGCAGTAGTTACGGTGACAAGTAGTTGAGGAACATGTTGTTAGATATCATCAGCAAGAGACAAAACTGGAGGCACCTCTCACACTATATCACATGCTTCTACAGTAACATATAGCAAGCTAACATTCCTCACATCTCAAATCAACATTTCGATTTTGCAGAGTCGACTGTAATGGAGAGAAAATGGGTGAATTATTCTGTCACATCTTGTGACCCCCATCCTGGTCACTGGAGTAGATGTATACCCCCTCTAGAGTTCCATACGGTACTTGAAAAGGAATGGACTTTTAAGGCAGTTTGCCTGCAACTTCTCTAGATTGGTGCACCAAGTTTACTGTAAACCAAAAAAAAAAAAGCTTGTCTTAACTGAGCTTAGTCATGGCTGGAGACGTGTTAGTTATTTAGAGGTCTTTGCATATTGCTCAAGTATTGTAAAGGTAATTTTGATGATCAATGGGAATGCAGTTGCAATATTTCTACTTATTTTTGGCGCCTTCATTAAAGCAGTAGGGTACTCCTTGAAGGATATGTTTGAAGAACCTGACCTTGTGGAGCATTAGCGCCAGTAGTCACCTCTCTCTCTGCTACAGTATATATATATATATTGCCCCCTAGACACACACAAAATGGACGGAAAGCAGATTTATAGAAACATTGATCTAATGATTTTTTCTTATAGATGGATAGTTGCTCATGCTGTCCCATAATAGTATGCATCCGGTAGGCCTCTCTCCCATACTCGTGCGACCCTAAACTAACATATACTGCAGATCACCATCTTTCATTTTTGTAGCCTCATGATGCAGCCTCTAGTCTTCATGCGTCTTGCTGTCAGTTTTCATGGATACTTTTGTCTTTGTGTAAACCACAAGTTTTTTTTGTTTATTTTCCTGTAGTTTATGTTCACGTTTCCATACCCTCTTAACAAAATTCCTGCGCATTTATTCCGAAAGAAAAAATATATTTTGATTCAAGAGAAGAGCTGCTCCTACACAGCCGTAATGATATGTTTGCATCTTACCATTATTATCTTGTCTTATTTTTTCTCAAGAATAAATGCCAGTGTTTTTGCACAGAAGCAAATACGAGAGATATGACACGCATGCTTTCTTACTCAATGGTAGTGATGTTGTGTGGCCTTCTCCTGTGGGTGGCAGGCCCTGCTTCTCCTGTGGGTGGCAGGCCCTGCTTCTCCTGTGGGTGGCAGGCCCTGCTTCTCCTGTGGGTGGCAGGCCCTGCTTCTCCTGTGGGTGGCAGGCCCTGCTTCTCCTGTGGGTAGCAGGCTCTGCTTCTCCTGTGGGTGGCAGGCTCTGCTTCTCCTGTGGGTGGCAGGCCCTGCTTCTCCTGTGGGTAGCAGGCTCTGCTTCTCCTGTGGGTGGCAGGCTCTGCTTCTCCTGTGGGTGGCAGGCCCTGCTTCTCCTGTGGGTGGCAGGCCCTGCTTCTCCTGTGGGTGGCAGGCCCTGATTCTCCTGTGGGTGGCAGGCCCTGCTTCTCCTGTGGGTGGCAGGCCCTGCTTCTCCTGTGGGTGGCAGGCTCTGCTTCTCCTGTGGGTGGCAGGCCCTGCTTCTCCTGTGGGTGGCAGGCCCTGCTTCTCCTGTGGGTGGCAGGCCCTGCTTCTCCTGTGGGTGGCAGGCCCTGCTTCTCCTGTGGGTGGCAGGCCCTGCTTCTCCTGTGGGTGGCAGGCCCTGCTTCTCCTGTGGGTGGCAGGCCCTGCTTCTCCTGTGGGTGGCAGGCCCTGCTTCTCCTGTGGGTGGCAGGCCCTGCTTCTCCTGTGGGTGGCAGGCCCTGCTTCTCCAGTGGGTGGCAGGCCCTGCTTCTCCTGTGGGTGGCAGGCTCTGCTTCTCCTGTGAATGACAGGCTCTGCTTCTCCTGTGAGTGACAGGCCCTGCTTCTCCTGTAAGTGACAGGCCCTGCTTCTCCTGTGAATGACAGGCTCTGCTTCTCCTGTGAGTGGCAGTCTGATTCTTTTGCGAGTGGCAGTCCCTACTTCTTCTGTGAGTGGCAGAGGTCAGCTTCTTCTGTGAGTGGCAGAGGTCAGCTTCTTCTGTGAGTGGCAGGCCCTGCTTCTTTTGTGAGTGGCAGGCCCTGCTTCTTTTGTGAGTGGCAGGCCCTGCTTCTCCTGTGAGCGGCAGGGCCTGCTTCTCCTGTGAGTGGCAGGGCCTGCTTCTTCTGTGAGTGGCAGAGGTCAGCTTCTTCTGTGAGTGGCAGGCCCTGCTTCTTTTGTGAGTGGCAGGCCCTGCTTCTCCTGTGAGTGGCAGGCCCTGCTTCTTCTGTGAGTGGCAGGCCCTGCTTATCCTGTTAGTGGCAGGTCTTCTCCTGTGAGTGGCAGGCCCTGTTTTTGCTGTGAGTGGAAGGGACTGCTTCTCCTGTGAGTGGCAGGGCCTGCTTCTCCTGTGAGTGGCTGGGCCTGCTTCTCCTGTGAGTGGCTGGGCCTGCTTCTCCTGTGAGTGGCAGGGGCCTGCTTCTCCTATGAGTGGCAGGCCCTGTTTTTGCTGTGAGTGGCAGGGTCTGCTTCTCCTGTGAGTGGCAGGGCCTGCTTCTCCTGTGAGTGGCAGGGCCTGCTTCTCCTGTGAGTGGCAGGGTCTGCTTCTCCTGTGAGTGGCAGGGCCTGCTTCTCCTGTGAGTGGCAGGGCCTGCTTCTGTGAGTGGCAGGGCCTGCTTCTCCTGTGAGTGGCAGGGCCTGCTTCTGTGAGTGGCAGGGCGTGTTTCTTCTGTGAGTGGCAGGATCTTCTTCTCCTGTGAGTGGCAGGGGCCTGCTTCTCCTGTGAGTGGCAGGCCCTGTTTTTGCTGTGAGTGGCAGGGCCTGCTTCTGTTAGTGGCAGGGCCTGCTTCTGTGAGTGGCAGGGCGTGTTTCTTCTGTGAGTGGCAGGATCTTCTTCTCCTGTGAGTGGTAGAGCCTGCTTCTCCTGTGAGTGGCAGGCCCTGTTTTTGCTGTGAGTGGAAGGGCCTGCTTCTCCTGTGAGTGGCAGGCCCTGCTTCTCCTGTGAGTGGTTGGGCCTGCTTCTCCTGTGAGTGGCAGGCCCTGCTTCTCCTGTGAGTGGTAGGGCCTGCTTCTCCTGTGAGTGGTAGGGCCTGCTTCTCCTGTGAGTGGCAGGCCCTGCTTCTCCTGTGAGTGGCAGGGCCTGCTTCTCCTGTGAGTGGCAGGGCCTGCTTCTCCTGTGAGTGGTATGGCCTGCTTCTCCTGTGAGTGGCAGGGCCTGCTTCTTCTGTGAGTGGCAGAGCCTGCTTCTCCTGTGAGTGGCAGGGCCTGCTTCTCCTGTGAGTGGTAGGGCCTGCTTCTCCTGTGAGTGGCAGGGCCTGCTTCTCCTGTGAGTGGCAGGGCCTGCTTCTCCTGTGAGTGGAAGGGCCTGCTTCTCCTGTGAGTGGCAGGGCCTGCTTCTCCTGTGAGTGGTAGGGCCTGCTTCTCCTGTGAGTGGAAGGGCCTGCTTCTCCTGTGAGTGGCAGGGCCTGCTTCTCCTGTGAGTGGCAGGGCCTGCTTCTCCTGTGAGTGGTAGGGCCTGCTTCTCCTGTGAGTGGAAGGGCCTGCTTCTCCTGTGAGTGGCAGGGCCTGCTTCTCCTGTGAGTGGCAGGGCCTGTCTCTACCATGAGTGATAGGGTCTGCGTCTACTGTGAGAGGGAGGACCTAGCTGTTTCTCCAGTGATAGGCAAGGCCTTCTTCTGTGAGATGGAGGTCCTGCTTCTCCTGTGAGAGGCAGGGTCTGCTTCTCTTGTGAGAGGGAGGGTCTGCTTCTCCTGTGAGAGGCAGGGTCTGCTTCTCCTGTGAGAGATAAGACCTTACTGTCGTAGGCTGATGAGTGTCCAGTGTCAGGTACTCTGTGTGCTCCCTTACCTTTTATGTGCTCATATATTTACTTGAGTCATCTCCTTCCTTTGTTATATGTGCATATCGGCTTTGTATCAATGCAATCATTTTAGTGTTTAGTGCATACACGCACTAATGAGTGTGACATATTTGAAGATAAGCATTTGGACGAGTTTAGCCTCGTATAGCAAGGAAGGAAATGAAACACATGTCGAGCTGACAACCTAGGCTTTATTGGAGTATTGAAAACAAAACTAACGTGCTTGATAATCTTGGTTGGGGCACCTTAATGATGGTGCCGCTGTACTCAGCTCCACATGTGTGTTATTTATTGGGGTTGACATGTTGTGAATCTTCTCTAAAGGTAGACTGATGTACAGTTTATAATGCCCTGTCTAATCTATTAACACTTATTTTCACAAGTAGAGTAACCATTTATTTGGTTTCATCAAAGTCAAATATCTTAGACTCTGAATGATAGATTCATGTAATTATTTTATTGGTTTCCCGTGTTTTGATTTCTGGTTTAGTGTTGTTGTAGAGAGGCATGAAAGCTCGGGGATGGTAGAGATAAAGGAGCTTCCCCTGGGAGCTCTCAAGGAGCTTCCCCCCTGGGTGCTCACAGGGAGCTTCCCTGGGTGCTCAGAGGGAGCTTCCCCCTGGGAGCTCTCAGGGAGCTTCCCCTGGGAGCTTCCCCCTGGGAGCTCACAGGGAGCTTTCCCTGGGAGCTCTCAGGGAGCTTCCCCCTGGGAGCCCACAGGGAGCTTCCCCTGGGAGCTCACAGGGAGCTTCCCTGGGTGCTCAGAGGGAGCTTCCCCCTGGGAGCTCAGAGGGAGCTTCCCCTGGGAGATCACAGGGAGCTTCCCCCTGGGTGCTCAGAGGGAGCTTCCCCTGGGAGCTCAGACGGAGCTCACTGATGACTGCATGCCACCTAACATGAGCTCAGTGAGAGGAGCAGTAAAGCTGCCGTAGTCGTAGCCTCGACCCCCTCCCCGCGCCTGTAGCACTCTCTGGAGCAGCACCCCCCGGCGCCTGCGGCTGGCTTGGATGGTGATGTGTGTCTGTTTGTCTCTCGGCGCTGTAGGTCACAACATGTCCCAGGCAGACGCCAACTCGGTGGCTGGGGAGTCGATGCGCGCGGGCCAGACGGGCACCGGCTGCTACAAGAACCACGAGCACCACATGGGGCGGCAGCAGAAGGAGGCGCAGCAGGGGGAGAGTGGGGAGGCGGGGGTGACCACCAACACCCCCGCTGCTCCCAACATCCTCGACCTCCCGGCCACCGACGACCAGCGACCTCTTCCCTCGCCAGACTACCAGACTCCGGTAAGTCCTCCTTCACCCTCCTCCTCAAACCTCTCCCCCATTTCCTCCCTTCTCTCACCTCACTACTGCTACTCCCTCCCCCCTTCCCTCACCCCTCACCTACCCCCCCACCCCTGTCTCTCGTCTTATGGTCCCCCCCCCCTTCTTGTGTGGCCTCCTATGTGTCCTCTGTGGCCTTCTATCCTTCGTCTGTGGCCTCTCACCCCTCCTCTCTGTGGCCACCAGCACTTCTCTCTCTCTGTCTCTCTCTCTCCCCCTTATATACCCCCAGTGTGACGCCTTTGTTACTTCTCTCCCCCTAAGCTTCTGAGCTCCGTGTTCTCCCCTTTGCTCAACAAAGCCTAATATAGATCTTAGGTCAGCAGCCGTGATGCTCCTCCTCCTTCATGTTTGATTGATTACTCTGAGTGTTGCATGAAGGCATGGTGGTCAGTGCATATCCCGCCCCTCCCACAACCCTCCCACAACCCCCACCTACAACGCCGGTATCACAACAGCCGCCAAAGATGAGGTTGCGAGGTTGTGGGATCATCAACCTCCTCGCGCCTGCCAACCATTATTGAATGTTTTTCTCCCGTTTCCTTGACGACTTCCTGTCGGGCTGGAGGTTGTGTGGAGGCTGAGTAGTGGTGTAGAGTAGTGGTGTAGAGTAGTGGTGTAGAGTAGTGGTGTAGAGTAGTGGTGTCGTCTGGGGCCTCACCCACTGCTCTCTCCTGGCTCTTGTCACACGTCTTCCCTAGTTGTGACGTATGTAAATATGTATGTTGTGGATTGTTTGAAATTTAGGGAAATGTGCACTGTGACTGTCATGTGACAGGTATGACAGCCACGGTCAGATACAAGTGACTGGCATGAAGGCCTGACAGTTCTTCTTACTACTCAGACTCCTCGTTAACAATGAAATCAGACTCACACGCCGTGTAAACATACAGTCATCACACCAAGACTCCAATACTCAAGCTCGACCAGGATCCACATATCCACCTACGAAACCTGTACATCTTTAAACAATCATGGCGGCTTTGTTTACATTTACACTTTACGAGCTTCTAAACTTCACAACGCAAGGTTATTATTGTCATAAACAACCCCATAGCGCACTGGAACTCTTGCACTGATAGTGTACACAAAGCCAGCATGCTTGTTCGAAAGATGTACAGGTTTCGTAAGCGGTTGCGTATGTGCTTGGTGTCTCCTCTATCTGTACCGTGTGACTGTAAGTGCTGTCTGCTCACCACTAGTAACGTCACAAGCCGGATATATTTACAGTATGAAAACTGGGGACCGGATATATCTGTTATACTCTCATTACCACCCGGTAACACCCTTCACCCTGGTGTCACACTGTCATATATATATATATATATATATATATATATATATATATATATATATATATATATATATATATATATATATATATATATATATATATATATATATATCAGAAAGTTAGCCATATTGTCTCAAACACAAAATCAACACAGAGCTCCATTTAAAACAATTTAAATTTAAAACAATGAAGATAATGAAATCCTAAACATATGAGTTATACATATATAATCCACCACACTTGGATAGGACGCGAGGGAAAGGGCGTAACTGGATAAGAATATCCAGATCATCTTGGCGTAATAATATTAAAGATGAATTTAATTCTAATGTTCAGAAAACTGGACCATTAAAAGCTGGTGTGCTGAGGCTGAAGAAAGTTTTGTATTGAGTGAAGAAAACTGTGTCAGGAGAAGACAGGTGAGCACCAGTCGTCACGGTCATCAGGGAGTGACTGTGCTGCATGAGCACGGCAGTAGTGTACACCTGGGACCAGAGTCACGAAGCACTTACGCAAGCACTTACGAACCTGTCCATCTTTTCTTTTGGCGGCTTTGTTTACAATTATTATAAAGTTAATGAGCTCCGAAGCACCAGGAGGCTGTGTATAACAATAACAACAGTCGATTGGGAACTTTTCATGCTTGTAAACTGTTTAATAAATGAACTGTCACAAGTACTTACTTACACGTTCGTAAGTACTTGTGAAACTGCTTCGTGAATCTGGCCCCAGGGTTGTGAAAGTCACCACTGAGATGACAAGAGAAGGTGTTGAAGGCTGTGTCGTGGTGCAGAGATGAAACACACCTCCCGGAGCTTGACACTGGATTACAGTACACTTTAACCCCCTGGTCTACACTGCTATTTAAGGGTACTACAACACGCTGCACTTGACGGAAAGTTGTTAAAAGCATTTAAATGGAATATATAGCCTAAGGCACTGGAAGTCATTTAAGTGTTTATTTCTTATTACATTTCTTCATAGAATCGATGAAATGCAAATGTCATTCGTACACATCTTGCAAGATCATGGATTTAAAAAAAAAATCGTAAAATGTCTTTACTAAGAAGTATTCAACTTTAACCAATTTACTTTCATTCTTTTATACCATATTTAAATCTATTGACAGTCGAGACATTAGGACTATGCCTCACCTGACCATGGTGGGGGGGGGGCTACTCACTGATATTGTTTGCACTTAATGATAGACATTATAAAAGGTGAACTGACAGCTAGTGGAGGTATTATCTTAAATTTCATTTGGGCATAGTTGTTCAGGACGAAATACAGTCAGCAAAACTGGGTGTCAATTCCAGTAGAGAAAGTGGAGTACTGTCCCCAGTACTGTCCCCAGTGCCATCCCCAGTGCCATCCCCAGTACTGTCCCCCCTAGTACTTGATTCCTGAATACAGTATAGACTCCCAGCCCCTGACACTATGGTATAGTCCTATATACTGCAATCCTTTGTGAATATAGTAGGTGAATTCGGTACTTCTTCCCCCCCCCCCCTGATACTATAGGATACTACTGGGGGTACTTCTCACCTTCTGATACTGCTAAAGTCCCGCGTTAAGTCCCACGTTAAGTCCCAGGACGCTCCGGGTCCCGTACGTCCAGTCCCTTAATCTTACATTGCTCCCATAATAAGTCCTAACATTATAGTACTCACAATTAAAATTTCAGTCCCCCCTGCACTATAGTACACATTACTACTATAATTACCCGTCCCGACACTATACATAGTACTCGCTCCTAAAATTACAGTATAGTGACACAATAGTATTATCTTCTATAATTAGAGTCTTCTGACACTATAGTGCTAGCTCCTATAATTATAGTCCACCCGACACTATATTTATATTTCCAATACTTGTGCTTCTAATTTATTTGAGTACTTCCGGTCTACTGTCCATACTGGTAGTCCCCTGATACTTTAGTACTGTCCATACTGGAAGTCCCCTGATACTATAGTACTGTCCATACTGGTAGTCCCCTGATACTTTAGTACTGTCCATACTGGTAGTCCTCTGATACTTTAGTACTGTCCATACTGGTAGTCCCCTGATACTATAGTACTGTCCACACTGGTAGTACCCTGATACTATAGTACTGTCCATACTGGTAGTCCCCTGATACTATAGTACTGTCCATACTAGTAGTCCCCTGATACTATAGTACTGTCCATACTGGTAGTACCCTGATACTATAGTACTGTCCATACTAGTAGTCCCCTGATACTATAGTACTGTCCATACTGGTAGTCCCCTGATACTATAGTACTGTCCATACTAGTAGTCCCCTGATACTATAGTACTGTCCATACTAGTAGTCCCCTGATACTATAGTACTGTCCATACTGGTAGTCCCCTGATACTATAGTACTGTCCATACTAGTAGTCCCCTGATACTATAGTACTGTCCATACTGGTAGTCCCCTGATACTATAGTACTGTCCATACTAGTAGTCCCCTGATACTATAGTACTGTCCATACTGGTAGTCCCCTGATACTATAGTACTGTCCATACTAGTAGTCCCCTGATACTATAGTACTGTCCATACTAGTAGTCCCCTGATACTATAGTACTGTCCATACTAGTAGTCCCCTGATACTATAGTACTGTCCATACTAGTAGTCCCCTGATACTATAGTACTGTCCATACTAGTAGTCCCCTGATACTATAGTACTGTCCATACTGGTAGTCCCCTGATACTATAGTACTGTCCATACTAGTAGTCCCCTGATACTATAGTACTGTCCATACTGGTAGTCCCCTGATACTATAGTACTGTCCATACTGGTAGTCCCCTGATACTATAGTACTGTCCATACTGGTAGTCCCCTGATACTATAGTACTGTCCATACTGGTAGTCCCCTGATACTATAGTACTGTCCATACTGGTAGTCCCCTGATACTATAGTACTGTCCATACTGGTAGTCCCCTGATACTATAGTACTGTCCATACTGGTAGTCCCCTGATACTTTAGTACTGTCCATACTGGTAGTCCCCTGATACTTTAGTACTGTCCATACTAGTAGTCCCCTGATACTATAGTACTGTCCATACTGGTAGTCCCCTGATACTATAGTACTGTCCATACTGGTAGTCCCCTGATACTATAGTACTGTCCATACTGGTAGTCCCCTGATACTATAGTACTGTCCATACTAGTAGTCCCCTGATACTATAGTACTGTCCATACTGGTAGTCCCCTGATACTATAGTACTGTCCATACTAGTAGTCCCCTGATACTATAGTACTGTCCATACTGGTAGTCCCCTGATACTATAGTACTGTCCATACTAGTAGTCCCCTGATACTATAGTACTGTCCATACTAGTAGTCCCCTGATACTATAGTACTGTCCATACTGGTAGTCCCCTGATACTATAGTACTGTCCATACTGGTAGTCCCCTGATGCTATAGTACTGTCCATACTGGTAGTCCCCTGATGCTATAGTACTGTCCATACTGGTAGTCCCCTGATGCTATAGTACTGTCCATACTGGTAGTCCCCTGATGCTATAGTACTGTCCATACTGGTAGTCCCCTGATGCTATAGTACTGTCCATACTGGTAGTCCCCTGATGCTATAGTACTGTCCATACTGGTAGTCCCCTGATACTATAGTACTGTCCATACTGGTAGTCCCCTGATAC